AGGCGGCTGGCGCGCTGCCCCGCCACTTGCAGCTGTACCAAGGAGTCCATCATCTGCGTGGGCTCTTCCTGGGTGCCCAGGATCGTGCCGGGCGACATCAGCTCCCTGTGAGTGGGACCCTTGCAGCCCCCGCCCCGCCCCATCCTGCGCTCGGGCGGCGTGACCCTGACCCCACTCCCGGGTCCCCCTCTTTGCGTTTGGGTGGGAGCGCGCTACGGGACGTGGGTGGAGTCTCGGCCTCGGGGAGGTTGGAGGGAACCCGAGCCCCAGAGTCTGGGAACCCAGGCAGGTCCCCGTGGCAGTGTTTTCTCAGAGTGTGGCCCGCGGGTCACCTGCATCAAACCCACCTGGGGAAGCTTGTGCCAATGCAGAATCCGGGCCGCGCTGAAGCAGGGTCTCTGGAGTGGAGCCCCGGAGTCTGCATTTGGCGTCCCCAGGGGATTCTGGGGTGCATTAAAGTTTGAGAGGCTGTGTTTGGGGGCGGGGGGGTAGTGGTGATTGTGTAAGAGCATGCACAGGAGCAGCTGAACATGACTGGATTGAGTGCAAACTGGGAAGGGGTGAGGCCTCACCGCCCCACCTCAGGTCTGGGGCGGAGGTTCACACCATGGCCGCCTCCTGCCGACCTCTCCACACTGCGGGTTGGGAAGAGCCTGGGTAAAGGCATGCAGCCTCTGGAAGTGGAGGGGTCGCGCCACGTGGCCTACAAGAGGGGGCACCCAGGGCTCGGCAGAGCCTCGCGGTATGTGGGGTGCCCAGCTCAGTGGCCAAGTGCTGGAAGTCAGCCTGACGCTTTCTTGCCCTGAGTTCAGGAGGGCTTCTTGCCCCGTCTCCCCACCACACGCATCGATGGCTGCTTTTTCAGGCTGGGGGAACTGACAGGAAAGGGCTTCACATGATTTATCCACCTGCTAAGAGACGCTTTCAACTTGCCCCCCCTCACACAGCCACTCAAGCCAAATGGCCAGTTATCATAATGGCTGTGGAAAGGGCTATGGGCTGTGTCTTTATTGCTAGGACATGTTTCCTGCTGAGATGACTCCCTTGTTCCAGGCCAAGCTGCCCGGGTGCCCACTCCATTGTAGAGGCAGGGAATCCTGGGGGTGACGTTGCTTGTGCTCAGGGCACTTTCTCCTGTACAACAGACCCCTGCCTCCCGCCCAAGGCAAGTGGCGGGGGCCTGGACCCAGGGGTGAGGGGTTCCTGTTTGCAGTTATAGAAAGTCAGGAGAGTGTGGGCAGCAGGAAGAGGACCTTTTTGATTCTTATTATTGCCAAATCGGGTGACATGGAGGATTCCAGAAATTAGAATTACCCTTATCGGATCCTTTAGACCAGCCGCTGATTAATTGATCTGCATGTTAAGTGAAATAATTCTGAAATAATGTATTGAGGTCCTGCTGTGGCCAGAAAGGATAGGGGACCTGGGGGCAGAAACAGAGCCAAATCTCTCGCCCCCTAAGTTGATCGTTTTATCTGGCAGATGGCATTGTTCCCACTGCACAGTTCAAGTGTCTCTGAGTTTTCCCCCAAGGCTTTCATGGTGCCGTTTAATCAGAAGTGCCCTGAGTGTCTTTCAGAAATGTGCTCCCAAGGGGAATGCTTAATCCTACCTGGGAGTTTCGTTGGCCAACATTATCACTGTGTCTACACCAGCAGAATCATGCACAGTGGTGAAGTAATTACCTACTTTTAGCGGGGCCTGGTGAAGTTAAGAGAAGCAAGTGAGGGGATTGATGTAAAAGGACAGAGATAATGTCTGTGAAGGGAACCAGACTGATGGCAGAGGTTTCTATTATCCAGACAAGTTTTCATATTGATCCAGTTCATTGGAAAAAGGCTTGACCTTTCCCGTTTCTCTTCCCGGGAAGACCTGGCCAGCTCCTGAGAGGGAAGGTGTGAAGTGCAGGTGGCAGATGGGAACAGTTGCCCGCCCTGCCCGGCACTTCCCAACGAAACCCTCGGCCTTGCTTTTGCCTGTTCCTCTTTTGCCTGTAGGAGCCTGGTCAATGGAACGTTTTTGGAAATCAAGGACCGAATGTTTTCCCATCTGCCTTCCCTGCAGCTGCTGTGAGTACAAGAAGTTCTCTCTGCAACATGGGGGTCCCTGTGGTGCGGTCCTTGAAGAGTGGTCTCTGCCTCTTTGCTATCAGTCCTTCCTAAAATACCCCAGCTCCCTGAGTAAACCGTGCTGGCTCTTAACTGTTAACATGCCCTGTAATGTCCCCAACAAAGTACCAAGGCTTCTTGCTCAGTTTCCTTTTCTTAGTTCGGTACGTGTTTTCCTCATGGACTGTACTGTAGATTTCAACACCCAGATCCAGCAACTGCGGAGGTGATTATATTGAACCATGACCGAAACTTCACCTACATGAACTGTTTGCCAAGCACCTCACTTTAAAAGAAAACTTACATTTTAAAATCTTAATGTTATTCTAGAAAAAAAAGTTATTTCTAGTTTACTGAGTACTTAAAGAATCAGGCAGCACACTGTGCATTTATGTGCATGATTTTATTTAACCATTATATCATCCCTATGAGGAGGGTATTTTTATTTCCCCATTTGACAGATGAGGAAACTGAGGTTCAGGGAAGTTAAATAATTTGCCCCAAATCACGCAGCCAGGATTCTAACCCAGGGCCCAGAGCCCACACTCATAACTACTATTCATCCAGCTCCTCTTGGTGAGCAGTGCCCGAGTCACTGTGATAAGTGCCCATGTAGTGCCTTATAACCCAGGTCAGTTAATGTTTGCTGATGAAAAGAAATATCTAAAAAGCAGTTTTCAGAAGGAAATCAGTGATAGGCAAAGTCATGAGTACATAGCTCATTTTCTTTATCTACATTAGTTTTTAAATTTGAGGTGAGATTGAAATGAAAACAAACAATGTGCTATAGAAAAATATGGAGAAATGGAGTATAGGAGATCACCACTCATCCTAAATAAATTTACTACTGATATTTTTGTTCTTAAAGTGTTGTATGCCTGCATATAACATTAAACTTAACATTTTAAAATCTGAATTCTAGGGCCGAGCCCGTGGCGCACTCGGGAGAGTGAGGCACTGGGAGTAAAGTGTTGTATGCCTGCATATAACATTAAACTTAACATTTTAAAATCTGAATTCTAGGGCTGAGCCCGTGGCGCACTCGGGAGAGTGAGGCACTGGGAGCGCAGCAGTGCTCCCGCCGCGGGTTTGGATCCTATATAGGGATGACCAGTGCGCTCACTGGCCGAGCGGTGCGACCAGTCTCAAAAAAAAAAAAAAAAAAAAAATTCTCAATTCTCTTAGAATTGCAGTGCTATTAAGATATACTTTCCATATGATAGAAATACAATACAATTTTAGGTATTCTTTTGCCAAATAGGCTTAACTTGTAGCTCACAGAAAACTACATAGTGATAAAGAGTTTTTGAAGATTTCTTAAACTTTTAAAATTATTTCTCGTGTATTAGTCAATCTCTGTTGCTTATAACAAAATACTTGGAACTGGGTAATTCGTAAGAAAATGAAATTTATTGCTTACAGTTCCTGAGGCTGAGAAGTCCAAAGTCCAGGGAACACATCTGGTGAGGGTTTTGTGGTGGTGACAGTGACCCAGGGATCTCACATGGCACAAAACGGTGGGGGAAAGAGAGAGAGTGACAGGTAGTTCCTCATGCACTCCCCTTTTAAAGCCCTCAGAACCACGCCCCTAACCACCATTATTTATTTATTTATTTTTCCTTTTTTTTTCTTTGTCTTTTTTACTGACCGGTAATGGGATCGCAACCCTCGGTGTTGCGTCCGCACCGCGCTCGGCCAGTGAGTGGGAACCGGTCTCCACATGGGATCCGAACCCTCGGCGGGAGCGCCACCAGGCTGGCCCCTAACCACCATTATTAATCCATTCACTATGGCATGGGCCTACAATCTCATCACCTCTCATGGCCCCACCTTTCAATTACCATAATAGGATTTCCCACCCTCGACAGTTAACAGTGAGGATTAAGCCTCCATGAGGTTGGGGGTCATCCAATCAACAGTATCATGGGAATGTATAGTATAGTAGAATTTTCTTTTGTCCCAGCTGTGTGACTTTGGTCAAGTCACTTAACATCTCTGGGCTTAAATTTTTCTAAAAATAGAGTTGGATTGGATCCTTTTAGATCTGTAATTCCATCATTGCTTGTGCATCATAAAGCATTCACTGGCTGTTTAGTTGTGCTGAGCATTAGAATGTTTTAAAATAACAGTTATCAGGTCATATTTACTGAGACCCACGGGGCAGAAAGAGGTAGAGTATTAGGGATGGTCAGAAAATCTGGATGGGGCTGGTCCATGGCTCACTTGGGAGAGTGTGGTGCTGATAACACCAAGGCCATGGGTTCAGATCCCTATATAGGGATAACTAGTTAGCTCACTTGGGAGAGCATGGTGCTGACAACCCCAAGTCAAGGGTTAAGATCCCCTTACTGGTCATCTTTTTTTAAAAAAATAAGAAAATCTGGACAAAAGGAATCCACTTGCCATTGTCTCCATCAGCAGTCTGTGAGAGTCAGGTTGTGGACCTAATGGGTTCTTAGGCTGAAAAGAGCCCATTTTGCCCACAGATCAGAACATAGCAAAAGAAACAGAAATGGCTTCACCATGTAACTCAAGTTTTATATCTCTGTCCCTTATTTTCAGATTGCTGAATTCTAACTCATTCACAGCTATCCGAGATGATGCTTTTGCTGGACTTTTTCATCTTGAATACCTGTAAGTTTTGTGCTTTGTCTATTTGCTGAGCATTTGGTATTTCAGTAGAATTGCTGGATTGCTTTCCTTGCTGGTACAGCATCTCTGCAAGGGTTTAGGGGTGGAGAAAATGCAGAAAACCCCATTCTCTTTTCAGCACTGACCTTTTATAGTTTCTTTGCTTATAAACATGCTGGGGAAGGAGGAGGTTGGAGACAAAGAGGAAAGGAAACAAAGAAGGAAAGATTCTCATTCATCCTCTGCTGACATTTAATTTGTCACGTAATAAGCACAATTGGAAAAATCGTTGGATATTTTTACCTTCCATAACTAGGCATGGATTTGCTGATGAGCCAGAAATAGATCTGAAGGGTTGGAAAGGAAACAAAGAAGGAAAGATTCTCATTCATCCTCTGCTGACATTTAATTTGTCACGTAGTAAGCACAATTGGAAAAATCGTTGGATATTTTTACCTTCCATAACTAGGCATGGATTTGCTGATGAGCCAGAAATAGATCTGAAGGGTTGTGAGGGTTACTTATTTTTAAATAAAGTCTCCCTGTTTGGGGGTACAATTTCATGTTTTTATCAGCTGCCCTACATCCCATTTATAGTATCTCTTGTGAGTTGCTGCTGAGGGTCTAATTTTCTTTTCTCCTTAAAAAAAAAAAGGTTATTTTTCCCTTTTTGGATATGCAGATTTTTTCCCCCTAGCAATGAGCATTGCCCTCCTTCTGATGCCTGCCTTTTCTTTCATGTCTTTTTCTCCCCCTTAAATTCTTTCTTCCTTGTCTTCAGTAACTTTGTGCTTATGTTAATCCTGCTATCAGATGGGATGTCCTTTCTTAGCATTCAAAAGGATTTTTAAAACCTTATCTCTGTTTTCTTAATGGAGTTCGACAGGTAGGTGTTGGAGTTCTTGGCACATCCTGGGTATAAGAAAGCTCTCTGCTGATTTTGTGTCTTGAAGAAAGGTGTCTCTGGAGGAATTCTTTCTCCAGAATATATATAACATGTGTGCTCTCGTAATACTCTGAGGAAGTACATATGTGGAAAGAGAGGGATGACTACAAGCTAAATCCAACCAGGGTCTATCAAAGCACATAAACCGCTAATGAAGGTAGCAAGTGTAAAGCTGTGAGTTTTATCTTATGGGCAGTTCACCTTACTGTCAAGGTTACTGGGGAGGAAGTTAGCTTATCAGTTTATACTGAAATCTATTACTGAAGAGACACCTGATTTTTCAAAACAAAAACAAAAAAACCAGATGTCGGAAAGTGTTTAGTGCAATCAAAAACTGTTTTATTAATGGTGATGCGTTGCAAAGCCTCTGCCTGGGACCATCTCATCGAAGACCCTGTTATATTTGACTTAACGCAAATGCCTTAAACTAAAATTTAGTCCTCTGTGGCCCCAGGGAATGGTCATAGTGCATTCACGTCACATCTTTTCCACAAAGACTTTAAAGCGTGTTGTTATTGCAAGATCCTCTGCACAAGTCCTATGCCATCTTAACACAAAGAAGTTAACCCCTACTCAACTTTGTTATACTACTTCCTACTTCCTAGTGGCCTAGAGATCTTGAGAGTATTCCTGCCTTGTCACTCATTTGCTCAGAGATTAGACCATGTGGGACATGATGACTCAAGGTTGCTGAAAGCCAAGCTTAATGGAACCCTCCCTCAGCAAAAACTTTAATATGGAGATGTAAAACAATGGGCTCCCTTCAAGGGACAATGACATCAACAAAAGTATGAACAGCCAGACACTGTGAAATGTAAGAGGGATTAAGTAGGGAAACTGTCTGGAAGCATTCCAGTCTTGCAGAGATATGAGAATTTCTTGCCTTTGTATAGAGCATTTTTCTGTTTTTCCCCCAAAGTGTTTTTACCCATGTTGTCAGCTCTGAATTTGAAGACTTCCATGCTGCTTCTGGAAGGAGTGCAGAACACACAGTCACGCGCATGTATTCTTGCACACCCACCCTGCTCCCATGTGGACTCTGATCCAGTCTTCAGAGATGAACTTCTATAATTCATGAATGCTTTTAGATTTTACTCTGAAAGCATACCAATAGCATTTTTTAGAGATATTAAGCAGAGAAAACTGAGTTTAATTATACAACTTTTCTCCTTAGGTTCATCGAAGGGAACAAAATAGAAACCATTTCAAGAAATGCCTTTCGTGGCCTCCGTGACCTGACTCACCTGTAAGTCCTATAAAAAGTGTTGCAAGTCTTTTAATGTGTGGAGTAAGATTCACTTCCTGGTGCCTCTCTCTTCATTAAGTGTTATTTCCATATTGTAGCATTCCCCAAAGGAAACTAGTTTCCAGGCTGCACAAGAGGTTTCCATATTGTCGGCCAGACACCCTTCACTGTGATTACCTGCACGCTTGGCTTTATTATCTTCTCCATCATCTTGAATCTCCATTGTGGGCCACAGGACTGCATGTGGAATCAGGAGGACTCAGTTGTGAGGAACCTGTGTCACTTGATGGGGAAATGGGAAGGAAACTAACATGGGTGTTGTACCTGCTTAGTGCCAGGCACAGGGCTGGGTGCTTGGGGAACCCTCTCCTCTTTATCGTTCATGATAATCTGTGAGTCCCCATTTTACAGATTTGGCAACCAAGGCATAAATGACTCTGTTGAGTGTACGGTCAGAATTAGGACCAAGTGGAATAGAAATATTTTCATGGTTCCTCTCATTTGAATGCAAATTGGTTTTTCTTTTATGTTGGATTAATCTGCGGCTTCAGCTAAGCTCTCTGGTTCTTTAATAGATTTCTGGAGGAAAAAATAAACAAATTGATTTGAATTGGCATCTCAGAATGAAGCAAATACACATTTCGCAAATTTATAAAACTGGAAAAACTAGTGGCTGTGTTTATGAAAATGCAAAAATAGTCATTGTCCTGGTAGGAGTAATTTGTTAACCAGGAACCAGGTCTGACTTGCATGACAGATATTTTGTGTTTGAGTAAAATAACATGTCTCATCTCCATAGCCGACCTGTCTGCAGTCAAAACGAAAACTGGGAAAATTGGAAGGTTTCAAATGGGGGTATTGGGCAGGGGTGGTAGTTTCTTCAATGTGTGGACCTTGGCCAATAGTGTGGATATAGTCATCTAACAAGATTATCATTCACAGCAAGCCCTGATATTGGGAAAGGTGTCTGTCAATAGGTTCAGTAAACCCATAATTCTGGATTGCTACCAAGCAGAAGTGCTGCCTGAGCTAAAGCCTGTAGAGTAAGGAGGTGAGGGAGAGCACGTGGGAGGTCCAACATCTGGATCAGCACAGTTGATCTGGACAGTGTCAGACTCTTAATTTTTTTTTAGATTCAGCCTAGATGCCAAATCTTGACATTTCTGTAGAGGCTAAGATTATGAGTTTGGAGTTACATGGGCTTGGGTTCAAATCTCAAGGCCATCACTTATAACTATTATTTAGCTTTTCTGAGCCTTAGTTTTCTCATCCTTGAAATAGGGATAACTATACTGACTTCATAGGATTGCTGTACATAATGTGTGCCTGCAAAGCATCCAGCCCACTACCTGCGGTAAATGCTCAAGGTGTGGTTGGCGTTATCATCATCATCATCGGCAACAACAACACCGTTCCTTCCCTGCACACATTAAAAAGTCTCACATCCAGCCCACTACCTGCGGTAAATGCTCAAGGTGTGGTTGGCGTTATCATCATCATCATCATCATCATCGGCAACAACAGCACCGTTCCTTCCCTGCACACATTAAAAAGTCTCAATTTTCTCCATGGACTGACAAGGAGCCTTGGCAGTTTGAGTGGCCAGACAGGATCTGCTAAGAAGACAGCTGTGGGTGTCTGGAGAGGAACAGCTGGGGTCAGTTAAATCTGGTTCCCAGAAGTCAGGAATAAAGGGCTTTGTTTTTGTGCAAAGGATCTGGGCAAATGAACCTATAGCAAAACGCATGTGACTGGCTGAGTTAGCCCATATGGCAACTTTCCTTTGCCCTACAGGCTGCTGTTCTTCCATCAGTCAGAGGGTGTGAACATGCAGGTCCTGTGCATGTATATTTGTGTATCTTTGTGCACGTGTGCCCACAGGTACATGGACTTATATATTGTATGAGTAAGTGTTCATGTGTTCATGCTTGTGCGTTTGTTATTTCATGTGTTAACACGTGTGCATGTGAAGGAGGCACCTCCTTTTCTGCATGACACACAGAAAACAGAAACCCAGAGGGAACAAGGGAGTCCTTCATGTGGGTCCAGAGTGCATTGGATGCATTACAGAAGAACTAGGCTCATCCCAGAGAGTGTGACCACCTTGCAGTCAAGTCTGCATGGCCCTGTGTCCCGACTCTGCAGCCTCATTTCCCTGAGTGTCTTTGATCATCAGGCTCTCAGTGCACCCCGTGCACAATCAGCTCATCCCATGGCTGGGCTTTTCCTCGCATCCTTTCCTTTGCCCTCAATGCTGTTTCTTTTGCTCTCGGTCTCCTGGAATCTGCCTTTTCCTCAAAGTCCAAGTTAAGTTGTCTCCCCCATGAAGCCATTCCCGATCTCACTCTTCACCCCTCCTCTTGGCTCCATACAGCCAGCACTCTATTGTCTTCACTGGCCATACTGATTAGTGATATTTCATGGGTGTTAATTTTATCTCCCCAGCGGTGTAGAAAACTCTCTGAGGGTAGGACCCTTGAGCATCTTCCATGAGCTCTGCTTTCCTCCAGTTCCAGTGCAGAGCTAAGCCTGCAGGACATGTATTCTGATTGTCTTGCTGACCGATGGGTTCCTTACTGAGCTGGATTTTCCATGTGTATGCTATTTCTGGGCAAGTCAAGTGACTTTTAAAGTTGATTTCTCTAGACTGGAGATGTATTTAGTAATCAAAGCATTTAATACATTATTTAAATGTGTTGGACTGATCCTTCTCCCTCTCTTTTTTTAAACCTCTAAGCAAAGAGAAGACATCATCTCCTCTCTAAAGTTCACTTCTGTGCTTAAGGAAGTCTCTATCTGGAATTTGCTTATTTAAGTTATCTGATTTTTATCTTCTGTGAACTTTTCCAACACCTGCAGGCTCACATTCATATATAGAGAGACACAGATCAGGTTTCAAAGCATTGAAGGAGCTGTGCCAATCTGTAAGTAAATCTAGGACATTTGTTTTCCAGCAGTCCTATAAAACCCAAGGGACAGGGAGCTGTTAAATAGTTTTAGAAATGAAGTAAATGCCATGAATTTGTAGACAAAATGATGTAGGAAGGGAGATGGTAAGCACTGGATGTGAGTGGGTAAAAAACCAACCTAAAGAATCCTGCTTTCTGAAATCTAAATTGAGCACTTGAACAAATGCTAAGCATTATGCTTTTTTTGTCTTTTTTTTTTTTTTTTAAAGATGACCGGTAAGGGGATCTTAACCCTTGACTTGCTGTTGTCAGCACCACGCTCAGCCAGTGAGCAAACCGGCCATCCCTATATGGGATCCGAACCCGTGGCCTTGGTGTTATCAGCACTGCACTCTCCCGAGTGAGCCACAGGCCAGCCCTTTTTTTGTCTTTTAACCATTCCATATATTCTTATCACTTCAATACAATAACTTTTTTTTTTTTTTTTATTCCTTTTTTTTTGTCTTTTTTACTGACTGGTAACGGGATCGCAACCCTCGGTGTCACGCCCGTACCGGGGACCGGCAACGGGATTGCAACCCTCAGTGTCGCTCCCGCACCGCGCTCAGCCAGTGAGCGGGAACTCGTCTCCACATGGGATCCGAACCCTCGGCGGGAGCGCCGCCGCGCTCCCAAGCGGCGCACTCTCCAGTGCGCCACCGGGCCGGCCCTACAATAACTTTCAATTAGCTACAATTTTAGCTAAATAATCAGCCTTTAATTAGCTAAAACATTTTTGTATTTTACTTTCCAGAAAAAGTGACCATCAACCAGGAAAAAATTAGAACACCTCCTTTTAAATTTTTCAAAAACTATTTCCAGACTTTGTTCAGTCTGCTTACATATTCAGCCTATTTTCCAACACATTTAAAAATGTACAAATAAATCGTTTCGAAAAGAAAGATAAAATAGTACATGAAATCGTATTTTTAAAAAATTTTTAAAATATTTTTGTTGTTTTAGCATTATACAACGTAAACATTTTTCGTGGCCCTTATGAAATTGTATTTTAATCTATTTGTGGTTACCTAGATGGGAAGGAGTGTTATTCAGAAACTGTAGGTCTCCCCGTATTCAGTTGGTATCTTGAAGCAAGAATGTTTGGGTTGCAAATGAGCTTAAAGCTTTCTACTCTGCCCAGCTACCTGACTAAGAAGGAACACCCATTTCTTTAATTCATCTTTCTGGAGTGATTATTATGATGCTACAAAAGGGGTTGGTGTGAATTGCATACATATTTAACATTTATATATATTACTGTTAGTACTCATATGTATTAGAGAAAACCAAAGTAGGCATCAGTTTCTTGGATGAACACATTGGAGTGTGTAGCCTGAGGACATCATAGACTTGATGTACCTTGTTCCTACACCCAGTATCTTTCTAATCAACAGCCTTGCACCATGGTCGTGCATCCTTCAGCAGGATGATGACAGGGCACTGCGAAATCCCGAATCATCGGAGAAGGACTTGATGCAGATCATGCCAGTCTACTTCCCGGATGTGGGGAGTGGGCTAGGACATCTTAGAAAGATCTTCAGCACTAAGAACAAAAATACAAAATGGTTTCTGGTCAACCTTTGTTAATGAGAGCATGAAATTGATCATAATCAATCATTCCCTAAACATTCTGGTTCATTAAGATGTTATATTATCTTTAAGGGTTAAAGCTGAGTGTCTTTATGTAAAAGACTATTTATTGAGTATTTCTTAGAAGCACAAGTAACAGAATTCACTTGGAATGAACCATTAGGGAACTTCTCAGTACAAGACTGTATCTTCTTTTATCTCTCTCACTTTGGTGCTTAGTTCATTAATTCAACAAAGATTTACTGAGTACCAAGCACTGTTCTAGGAACTGGGGATAGAGCTGTGGATAAACAGACAGTGATCTCTGTCCTCATGTTGCTTCTGTATAAGGAAGATACATAGTAATTAACAAAGAGATAATTGTAATATATAGTGTGCAATGATCAACACAGCAAGAAAGGGTATTGCAAAGGTCAGGGAAGGTGGTGATAGCTGAGCACAGACCTAAAGGAGGTGATGGGGTGAGCCGTGTGGACGTCAGGCAGATGAACAGGCTCAGAGGCCTGGAGGTGGGATTAACAAAGAGATAATTGTAATATATAGTGTGCAATGATCAACACAGCAAGAAAGGGTATTGGCAAAGGTCAGGGAAGGTGGTGATAGCTGAGCACAGACCTAAAGGAGGTGATGGGGTGAGCTGTGTGGACGTCAGGCAGATGAACAGGCTCAGAGGCCTGGAGGTGGGAGCATGCCTCACCTGTTTGAGGAACAGTGAGGAGGCCAGTGCAGCTGGGTCTGAGTAGTGGGTGTGCCATCTCATAGGTAAGCAGGAGTAGAAGTAACTAGACAGTGGAAGGTCTTGCACGCTATCAAAGGGACTTTGGCTTTTATTCCATGAAACATGGGATGCTATCTGGGGTTTAACAAATGTACTTAAAGAGCTTAATAAATGCTTTAATAATAAAAAAACAAGAACAACTTACATTACAATCCAATATCTGTAATGTTATCTTTGTATAACTAAACTCATTTATTTATCTCAGTTTTAAAGATCAGAGCCAGAAATTGAACCACATTGTGATGAAGAGGCTTGGAGCTCTGTTTGAGGTCATTAGCTTTATTTAAAGGGACTTCAGAGTGGCACAGCATGAAGATAATAACCACATTAAAATGTGACTTTCTGCTTCTAGTTCTTTGGCCAATAACCACATAAGAGCACTACCAAGGGATGTCTTCAGCGATTTAGACTCTCTGATTGAACTGTAAGTAATGGAATTAAGTTTTATGTACTGGTCATTGTGCTCCTGTTCATCAGGTCTTTCAATCCCCTCTCCTCCTTTACTGCATTTCTTTTATGCTGTAGCTAAAAATCTATAGCCAAGTAGTGTATACTGAGAAACAATGTATAGTTTGTATTACACTAGATTTTGCCATTTTATAATATACTTAGTACCATTAGGCAATGGTAAATTAGGCTTGCTGGGCAGCAGGTTCCCCTTCCCTTAGGTAGCATATCCACCTGCTTTATCTTTAAGTGTTTGTCACTTCGTCCTGGATGTGGTTTAATGAGATCTTAAAGTTTCAATTGTGTTTGTGAAAACTGCCTGCCTTCAATGTCCTGTTTTTGTTTACTAGAACCTGTATTAAGAGATGCTCTTCTATTGCCCCTCCCGCATTCCTAGCGTGGCCTGGTGACAGTTTCAAGAGCTGGTGACAGTTTCAAGAGGGTTTGGAGAGATGATGATATGTTGTCTCTGAGAGCTGTCTATATGTTATACAGTTAAAATCATTATGACCACTGTGGAGCATTAAGTAAAGTCAATGATAAGCACAAAAAATAGGATGTATTAAGCACAAAATATTTTTAAAATTCCATTTTTAGGGGGTTTTATATATATCAGGATGTTAGTAATTCTGGAGTTTCACGTTACTACCAAAACATGTCAGTTCTCTGTGTATGTGTGTGTTTTTTGTTTTGTTTTTTAGAGATTTAAGGGGTAATAAATTTGAATGTGATTGCAAAGCTAAGTGGTTGTATCTGTGGCTGAAGATGACAAATTCCACTGTTTCCGATGTGCTGTGTATTGGTCCACCGGAATATCAAGAAAAGAAGCTAAATGATGTGACCAGCTTTGACTACGAATGCACAACTACAGGTATTCAGAGTCTATATCTTCAAAGACGGATATTTAGAATAATCCCTTTTTCTTTTACACGGTCATCAAGGAAGGGGGAAAAGTGAATGTAGAAGTTAATGTTAGAAAAAGTTTAAGCATTCTAGAAAAGAAATGAATCAGTGTGGTAAGGAAAATATCTTAACACAGTTTGCAAGGATTTTTATTAACTGCACTGGCTTTAGTTTTGATTCTTTACAAAATTCAAATTTCTCTAAGGGCTCACTCTCTCTCTCTCTCTTTTAAGGTCAAAGTATAAATTCATGAGTTTGGCATGAGAACATTTTCAAATCATTCTAGGTTTAACAGAAAGCCAGTGCACAGAGGTCTGCGTTACTCGTCATTGAGCTTTTGATTCCATAAGATGGAGTTTATTGGAAATGTAACTAATCAATATGAGCCTTTAAAATCTGTCAATTACTTTCATAGTTTCATGTAAGAAGAGATAGCTAGGTAAATTATAATCAATGGCAAAATAGTAGATATGTTAACAACTAGTTGACCAAAAACAAACAAAAAACTCATATTGAGGGAAAATGTAAAGAAAGTTTGATTTTGTTTTCAAGGCCTACCTCAAGGTTCAGGTTATAAGATAAAATTAAAATACTAACCACCTCAGCCTTTACAACATATGGAGAGCAGGTGAGCATCTCCATATGAAAGGCTGAGGGGGAATTTTTACAGCTTCTAAAGCAAGATTTTAAAGGAGAGAAGATCAATCCACAGTTTGAAACCTGCTTACCAGACTTATAAAAATAAACATTTAGGCTGAGAGTTGATATCTACAAAGCCTCAAGGCATGCCAGGAGAAGCAGCAGGAATGAGAATTCAGAAAATAGCTACAGAAACGCAAAAGACACAAAAACTCCAAGAGCAAATGATCACATTTAGGCCAGTTACAAAGGTCAGGGAAGGTGGTGATAACTGAGCACAGACCTAAAGGAGGTGATGGGGTGAGCCGTGTGGACGTCAGGCAGATGAACAGGCTTTAGTTTAAATAAACTAGGAAATAAACTAAAATAGGACCGCCTTCCAAACAAACAAAAACCCACAAAGTAAAAATTATTTCTAGATATCTTTGTAAATAAGGTACCCTACAAGTTCTGTTCTGATAGAAAACCTGAAATTTCATGGAAATGCCCTTGTCTTTCCTCACTGAATCGGGGCTTATTCAACTGTGTAATTGGCAGGTACCCTTTAGCTAGCTGAGGCCACTAAGAGGTTATCTATTATATTTTAGGACCAGTGCAATAAATCAGAGGTCATAGTCAATGACATCGTCACCAAAAGGTGGCATTTGAGTCCATTTGGTATTAAATGCTAAACCAAAACTCACTGGGCTGGCTCCTCTCTGCCTCTTCTCCAATTTTTCTGGATCGTTCTCTAACCCCCAAGGTGAAGTTAGCAACTTTTCTGTTGTTCCGTTCGCATCTGGCTACAGTGTGTGAAAACTTCGTCAATCTCTGAGAGAAGTTACGTGGGCTACGGAAGGCCTTGGGAATAGGGAATAATTAATATAAGAAAGCATGATTTCTGACCCGAGGGCTCTGCAGGTGGTTATAAAAAGGATCTGGGCTCTGAGAACTGTTACTGGCATGGAAGTGGTTTGGAGCTGAGGTAGCCACGTCTTGAAGCCTGTCCTAAACCCAAAATCCATGGGCAGCATGGGCCCCCAACACATTTTAGGGCTTTGTCTGTCTTATGTATATTTGTCTTGGCTAACAAACTTCCTGCTAAAATGTAGAAAGTGGGCACAAGGCTTTCTGGTAAGAGGGAGATAATGATTCTGTCTTTGCTATTATTTTATTTCTTAAAGACACATGAATGAGTTAGCTCTTGCTCTTAGTTTCTTCTATTGAGAAAAAAGGTGCAACAAAGTTGTGACCTGCCTCCAAATGTCATCCTTGCCGTGTAAGAGCTAGGTCAATCAATCGTGAGTGTTTCAGGTTCCTATCTTCTGCTCAGATCAAGCCCTGGCAGCTTCTGGTGCTTTGTTAAAGGCTGGGAAGGAAATGAGTGAGGATGGAAGGAAGATGGAAAGCCGAATTCGAGAGCTCATGGTACGGTTATCGTATCCTTACTCAAGATCTGGAAGGCAGCACGTTTTCCTAGTACATTGTTTTTCTCTTAGCTCAGATTTTCAAGAAAGGAGTAAATTTCTAAGGTAGATGTCTCACCCTGTTTTCCCAGAGATAGGAAGATACTGTTACCGTTCCATTCCTTGACAAAGGGGTGTAATTAATACCACAAAGCCACCATTGGGCTGTTTCAGCTCTTTAGATTAATCACAGTCCTTCCATCACCCTCTCCTTCCAGTCTATTTTTAACCGGCTCAAAAATCCCTGTTACTACTGATGATTCCCTGTGTTAGGAGGATAATTCACTAAATTCCTTAGAGGGACTGAATTTTGCATCCTAATTGTCCTGTTAGCTTCCCTATTTCAGGGCTGATGAAAATGCAAAGAGAAATAATGCATTAACGTGCAGTTTCTCTCCCAATAGGATCAGCATCATGTATAATTTATTTTCCGCAAGTGCTATAAATAGCTATGTTAAAATCTGTTGATTCCAGTGGGAGAAAGACCTAAATTGTAAGAGTCCCACTGACATCATGAACTTAATCCAGTATGAATGGAAGTGGCAGCTCTTTTAGCAGAGTGCTGTTAATATTTTAACACTAGTAAATTGATGTCATATCAATAGGTTTATTCTTTGAGATCTTTGCACCACGAACGTGCTTTTGTCATTTGTGAAAGGTACATTAAAATGCGGGTGGGGGAAGATGTTTAAATTCCTCCCGCCTGTCACCTTCTCTGATGCACATAAACACAAATGCATCAATCATCATTTTGTTTTTGCCCTTTTCTTCTTTTTTTCTCTTCCTCTTCTTCCTCCTTCTCCTCCTTTTTTGGGGGGATCAGGAGTGGGGTCCTCCTAAGAATTAGGTGTGTAATTCAAATGATTTAACAGTCTGTGTTATACCAGATAGTCAGTAACCATTGTTTGGGGGAAATAAACTAAAATAGGACTGCTAAAGGCTAGATGATTGAGGCAGCTCTTCCATCCTGGGATTCTACAATGAAAATGGAAACTTTTGGGTCTGTACTTTCAACAGCCTGCATTTTTAAGCGAACGCTCATGTTTCTGAGAATGAACAGCGCAGTGGGGAGGCGGATGGGACAGGGGACGAGTGAGTTACGGGCATCCCGGGAGTGTATAGAACCTTCGGCAGACTTGGTTAGACGAAGGCAACCAAAGATAGAGGAGAAGGGTTTATACCATCTTCTACAATGAAAATGGAAACTTTTGGGTCTGTACTTTCAACAGCCTGCATTTTTAAGCGAATGCTCATGTTTCTGAGAATGAACAGCGCAGTGGGGAGGCGGATGGGACAGGGGACGAGTGAGTTACGGGCATCCCGGGAGTGTATAGAACCTTTGGCAGACTTGGTTAGACGAAGGCAACCAAAGACAGAGGAGAAGGGTTTATACCATTTCGGTTGTAATGAAAAGAACGCAGCTGTATTCTCTGAGTCCTTTTAAATCCACAGGAAAGAGAGCAAACAATGGCTGCTACAATTTCCTTCTTTCCCCGTTTATATACACGTGGACCCAGGGACCAGCCAAGCCTTGTGTCAACAAGTACTTTCTGGCTTCTCCACTGGTTCTGCCAGTGCCAATAAGAATGAATGGTCGTTTTTTTCTGTTTTCAGTCTTTGATCAAACAACACTTATTTTTTTAGGGTGGTGGGTGGAGGGGTGGAGCTAGGAGCCTTTGTGACTCTTCCCTAAGTCATCAAGCAGGCAAAATAATACTATTACTGTTGCATGTGTGAAACTATTGGCTGATCATTGTAGATGAGGCACTGTACTGTATACTTACGTGTACTCTCATATTTAGTCTCTACAGCAGCATTATGAAACAGATGGTTCCCTCATTTATCTGACGAGGAACCTGAGGCCTGATTTTCTTCCCCAAGGTCGCATAGCTAAGAGTGGTAGGACAGGAACCCAAAGCCTGGTCAGTTTTGACTCAGATCTCCAGCTCTTCACCTGGAATCTCTACTCCCTACTTGGGGGAGGGGGTACCCTGTCTACTAGAGCCCCTTGTGCCCACCCTCCCTCAGTCCCCTCCTGCTCCTGGTGACACAGCCTGCCTCCCTCTCTCCCTGCACCTGTAGGCCTCATTCAGCCACCACCCATGCCCCACAGCCCACCTGCACTCGTTAAGCCAACAAGCATTTATTATGTACCTACTGTGCACCCAGAATGGGGAGGGGGCACTTCCAAAAGCTAACATATATTAAGTGCTCACTTTGTGCCCAGCTTGGTATGAATCACCCTACATGATGGGGGAACTAAGGCAC